TTTCTGATGAAGGGTCTAGGCCCGAAACGTCAGCCTTTCTGCTCCTATGATGCTGCTTGGCCTGCTGTGTTCATCCAGCTCTGCACCTTGTTGTCTCTGTTACATAAGCCCCTGACTGAGGCTGAGTAACAATGCAATGCAACAAATTCTTGCAGGAAGTACATTACTGCAATGGAGCACAGAAGCATTAGGCACAACAATCCAGACAGGACTTATTTTGACACCCACTTCCAGAGGAATTGAAATGGCTAAAGTCACCATTTATTGACTGTAAAATGTATTCATGCTGATAAAGTAAGCAGCCCTGTTTATTCCCAAATGCAAATGCAGCATTTTGGCTTTTTTTTTCCTTCATTTTTCCTGTTGTGCAATAAAAGTTAACATAAACAACTTTTGGAAAACTTCATAACATCTGATGCTCCCACATTCAACCATGAAAGGATGTAATGCTACAATGAGCATTAGGGTTCTAACATTGTATGGCCCTAATGAAGGGTAGCCTCTCTAGCTTCATTCCTGTAGCTGCAGCTAAAATAACAGTCAATCAGATAGGTGATGATGATGGAAAACGAAAATATAATCACAAATGTAAGATTCTATTTATACTGAAGTGTCACCTGTGCTACTTATGTGAACTCTTTGAATGATATTATTTTGGATGGTGAGGAATTTTCTTCCAACATCTAGTCTATCACAGAAGCACCTCCAAATGAGGTTTTTAACTAATTAATGTTTTGATGTTGAAAACTATCTACTGTCATCCAATTAATTCAAAAAACTGCAAACATCACCCATTGTACCTTCAATATTTCATTGTAGAGTGGATTAATGTTTCGCCTTTTGACAGAGGTCTTCCTCTTACCCATACGTGCCTTGTCTGGAAGCAAGTAGGTTTTAACATATCTGCAATTACCCAAAACAACATGCTTTAGCTGTTTGAACTATAATACAGCATTGTATTTCAAACTCTGGCCGAATGTTAAACCTAACTTTCTTAGCTCTTCTTCCCCATGGAAGTGGTTACTCAACAGCACCAATGACCGACAGATGCAAGCAAGGTTTCCCAGTCTTCTCTAAGTAAAGTTAGTCTACACTAAGTGTGGGTAAGGAATGTTGCTGTGTTAGGATAGGAGAGAATAATGTCATTAGCAGGTGTCCCACTGCTGAGCACAATTCAGTGACTCTTGCATGTGTGCAGACTTCAAGCAGGGATGGGATAGGATTACTGGTAAGTTGAATGTCCCATGAAAAATACGACACCAACAACTTATTTCATCTTAAAAGATTAAATATGAATGCAGGTGTTCAGAAAGTAGCAGATGCTAAAATTAACTTATCCGAGTGTCTAACAGGGGAGGGTGCAGCAAAACAGCAAAATAAGAAGGTGCCGTGCACCGTGCTGTTCATCTGACCGTACCTGATCTGAACAGTGCCATCTGCCTAGTTTTGGGGTGTAGTGGAAAGTGGGTACAGGAGTGTGGAAGTGAAGGGGGAGAAAGCAGAGACAGGAAGAGAATTAGATAGGAGAAATAAAGTTGTCACAGTGTAGATTAGTTTCCTCTTAGCGTGGTGATTGTCACGAGGTAAATAAAAAAAGGGGGAAGGGAGAATGTTAAAGAAAAGAAAGAACAGGGAGATGTTGGTTTCTAAAAACAAAAAAGCTTGAAAATTGCTGTCTACTTACGCATCAGTTCGACCCTTCTTCTCATCCACTACAGCCAGATCCTTACACTGACACACATAAATCTGAAACTCTTTATTCTTCTCATTGTAATCCAAAGCGAACTGGACTGACCCCTGGGCGTCAATGCTTCCGAAATCACCACTGTAGACACTCATGATGCTTCCACTCACCTGAAGGTGGTATTGATTGACAGTTATTACTATTTAACCCATTATGCCATCACTCAGATTGGCAGATTTATCTACAGAGGAAATGTGAAAGTCATCACTGTTACATGGAATTTCTACGAAGGGAATGTTGACATCGAAGTATGATTATTCCACGGAACAGCGACATTTTTCCTCGGGAAACATAACGCACATTTATAAGTAAACATTAGCAGAAAATACCAAGAATAATCTTTACAGTCAAACAGAATCTTTAGCCAATGATTGTTTGCTTAAATAATAATAATGGCATCACAATATTTCTGGCAATATTGAATCAAAAAAAACTTAGGATATTTGTTCTATTTTCTTTGCAGTGCCATACACACTAGAAAACAAACAAGAATTAACAGGATACAAGAAACTGATCATTCAAAAACAGGGCTTACATCCAAGAACAAATAGGTACATGGCTGTTTCATAGGCCGGGTAGATGCAATATTCTTTCACTAGTACCCAAAGGAAAATTACTAAAGCGTACCATCCTCAATGGGGATATCCATGAACCGAAGACATGAAATGGTCAATGCATTTCTGAGGGCAGAGAAGATGCAGGCATTGGGTCAGGGGAAGAGAAGCAAGTCGAAGGACATACTCCAGAGAATGATTCCAATTTTTGAATTGAAATATTGTTGAGAAACACTTACAAGAAATTTAAGGCACATCACCTTCTCTTCTCCATTATACAAGAGCAATATTCCAGGTTATTGCTGCTGAATATGCATGAAGCGAAAGAAGGATTAGTCTGGTGATTTACCAGTGGACTTAGGGTAGGTTGGATAGTAGAAGCAGATAGGTGGCAGGTGCAGGGAGAGGGATGTTAAGCTGATGGTGAGTTGTTTGTAATCATTCAATAAGCCTCCATGACACTGCCTATTGTTAATGTCTGTTATGTATGCACAGCAGTCCATGGGCCAATTTGGCATGGGGTTCTTGCAGTTTGCTATTTAAAAGATTTGACAGGTTAGTAATTACAACTATGGGAAACTACACTCTACTCATTACAATTACGTAGCGATCAATGCTCATACTGAGGAATTACAGAAGAGTGGAAGAATGGTGACATAAATTCTTCTAAAGGTTAGCTAATGGCCTATGGCAAGGCACAACTCAGGTTACTCCCCACATAACATGGAAGGGAGTTCCTTGCTTCCGAAATTTGAAATTCAATCACAATCAGCTCTGGCAGACACTGGACACCACTATTTCACCAGCTACACAGAGTGAGGAACCTATCAATCTCCCACTTTGCATGGAGTTCTAACATTCCTACATACGAACATGTCAGCCCTGACCCTTTCCTTATTCTGCCTGGTGATACTCCAAACTGTAGAGATACACTGCCCAAGACTTACTGTTTGTTGTCTATGACAATGAATATTATTGAATATTTTGAGTTGACATCTTCTAGATGGTGCAGTGGAAGCAATTGGTAGCTTGTGGCTCAGGAAGACTTTGGAGTTCATTGATTGTTACTTGCATACGTCTTGCCTTCAACTTCACTCACAGACTGAAGTTTACAAATGGATTTATTTATGTGGCAGCCATTGAAAAATTAGCCAAACCAACAGAGAGGGACAGCTATAGTTGTCAAACCCTGTATTTCAAACATTTGTGTGTTTCAGCCAACGACAATCAATGAACTCCAAGGTCTTCCTGACCCACAGGCTTCTGATTGTTCCCACTGCAGCATCTAGAAGATGTCAACTCACAATATTCAACCATATTCATTGTCATAGACAACAAAGAGCAGATCCTGGCGACTGTAGCTCTACAGTTTGGAGTACCTGTATGCAGAACACTCAGGATGTCAGAGGGATTTGAGTCTTTGTTGTTTAACAATGCACATAGAGTTTTTTTTGGCAGCTTGGTGGCTCAGTGGTTAGCATTGCTGCCTCACAGCACAAGGAACCTGGGTACGATTCCACCCTCGGGCGACTGTGTGTGGAGTTTGTACATTCTCCCTGTGTCTACGTGGATTTCCTCCGGGTGCTCCGGTTTCCTCCCACAGTCCAAAGATGTGCAGGCTAGGTGGATTGGCTATGCTAAATTGCCCGTAGTGTTCAGGGATGTGTGGATTACGGCGGGGATGGGTCTGGGTGGGATGCTGTGAGGGTCGATGTGGATTTGTTGGGCTGAAGGGATTCTATGGATTCTATGGACACATGCACTAGAGTAATTACATACAGCATTCCAACAACACTGATTTCAAATCCTTCAAGATTTTATTTGGTTCTTGAAAATAAATTCATACCGAAGACACAGATGCCATATCTGAGGAATGGCTGGCATCACTGGGAGTCTTCCTGTGCCATCCAATGTTGAAGCTGACCTCTGAAGCAGAGTCTGATTCACTCTGTCAAAACAAGATCAGTGGAACAATGTAATTTGGTATCTTTCAGCTTAGAATTACATAGAATGAACAAGACTCTGAATCATGAGGCAAAATAAGCTAACAAATCTGTTTGAGCCTTCCTTACCTTCCAGAAATGATTTAAATTTCTAAAATTCTTTTGTTGCTCCATTTATTACTTACACTGGTATCACTGACTGACAATACAGTGGGCTGGTCGGTTTAAAGATTACCTGGATTCACTTTGGCTGACCACTAGTTGGAGGGGACAGGGGAATATATAGATATTTTTTTGAGGATTGCCTTTCAGTTGGAGCCAAATGCACAAGACTTACATTAGAAGCAACCATGCCAGCTTATTGCTGAACAGTATTAAAGCAGTGCAAAGTTTGCAGATCAAAATACTTGAAACAATTAATTTATTGTTATGTAAGGAAATGCAGCAATCATTCTGCACCAGCAATACCCCTAAAAGATCATGGAATGAATGACCATTGCAATTCTTGCTAATGGTTTGCTTGAGGGTGGAATATTAGCTGGTACAACACTAAAACGTGATACTCGGATAATACCGTCCACCTGAAAAGGCAGATGAACATTTTCGTTTAGTGTCTTTTTTGTAGAACAGTCATGTTTTCTGAAGACCTGCCTCAGCAATGGAAGAAATATTCAAGTCCTGGAAAGATAGATTTTAAAGTCGGTTGTTGAGAGCAAAAGCACAGTTTACCTTGAAGGAACGTTTCAAAAGTAGCGTCAGCAATGAAGGTTATACACAGAAAATTCTAATGATCAACAAAGACTATAGTAGGGTAAGTGTCAGATGACTTGGAAAGAGTTAATATATATTTTAAAGAGCGGTAGTGGTTGATCTGCAGATTTTGTGTATTTGTCTTCTTCACTGCAGTGATATAGCCAGTGTACCCAATACATGGTGTGCACCTGCATGCTTACCAGATTCGAAGCTTTGCGAAAACCCTAAATATCCTATCATGTAACAACATGCAGGATTTAAACAAAGCTCATCCATGACCTTGAAAAGAAAGTATGAAATCATCTTTGCCCATGTCAATCAAAATTACAACTTTTCCCACTGATCCTATAGTGGACTTGACTCAAGACAGTGGATCTCACCTTCTTGAATCTGTTTCATTTATTGTCTAAGTAATTCATTTTATTATTACACTTTGAATAAGTGACACTTTCTGAACATATTACTTTACTGTCATTTAATTAACTCAAGTAAATCTAACTAGCGACTTCATGTAAGGTTTGGCTCAGGAGATTTTTCTTCAATTGCCAAAGTTTACTCTCATTACTGCTGAACAGCTCAACATTTTTGGGGGAACTAGTACCATTCATCTAATTTATATGAGCAGCCTTCACTTTCAATATTTCCTGCTCATAATTACATTCCATTACCTCAGTCATGAGCATTGGAACAGACTTGCTCAGCTCCTTCACCCTCGAATGCTCCAGAGTTGGAATGTTTACTGCAGGGGGCTTGTCATCAGCTGAGGAAACAGATTTTGATATTAAAATATGACACTATGATAGGCATCAAGCAAGAATCACTTTGCTGCAATAATACAAGAAATTCCACTGCACTTCAAACTCATTCTTAAATGTAACCTTGTACACAGCTCTAAAAATATACTCACCAAAATATCCAGTTTTAAATAGAGATTTAATAACATGACAATTCACTCAACATAATTTAGAATGGTGGTAGTGCCTGAGCTACAAATATTTCATTTAAAACATAAAACTGAAATTGAATAGGAGGAGGGAAGAGCTGATTGGTGGAAATAACAAACAAAGGATTACTGAATGCAGCCCCATTTGTGTCAAAATTACCATGGTGGTAGATGTTAATGATCTCCTTGCTCTGAAAATTCAAAAACCCCTCCTAACTAACACTCTGGCTGGGATTTTCCACTGCCTAGAAGTGGTGGGTAAGATCGCATAAAAGACAAATGATCAGCCGGTTTGGCACTGGATGATACCAGCTGTTTCATACCACCTCAAAAATTAAGATCTGGGTGGGAAAGCCTTCAGGCTCACAGCCAATTAAAGCAATTAAGTGGTCAATTAAACAACCACTCTTTCTGCCATCAGCAGAAAGTAACTGTGTGCTTAGCAGGCAAGAAAAGAGGCAGCATTCCCAATTGCTACAACAGGATTTGAGGGGGGTGGCTCGATTTACCCCAATCTGGGATTGAGGGCACAGGTGGGAAGCAGGATGTGGCAGCTGAATGCCACACTTTTGGCTTTATCTCCAACTTTCTGACACTTCTCTTCCAGTGAGCAATACTCGCAAATGCACCCAATTACCACTGCTCCTGTCTTTTGTGGCACTGCTGAGTTGTTAATTGCCAAGGCCTCCATAATAGCACCGTTCTTTATAGTGGCTGCCACCACCTAATTGGCTGGCAGCTTCAGGCAGGGCGGGACAGTGCTGTCCCAAGAAATGATTGACCAAGTAGCCCACAAGTGATCACTGAAGTCCTCATTTGGTAAGTTTCGATCAGATAGTCTTTCTCAGTGAGTATGGGAGTCTCCTTGGTAAAGACACCAGATCCCCACCCACTCATTAACTAAAAGAAGGAAAATCCCAGCCTCTGTTACTGTTTGTATGTTTTTCTTCTATAATAAACTCAGAAGCTTTCCATTGTCCTTTGTCCAGCAAAGTGCAATGAACTACAACAAAAATACGTAAGCACTTTAAAAGAGGTCCCATTAGCGAGAATCTGTTCGATCCAATTGATGAAAGCAAGAAACATCTTCATCAACTATGCCACTGGATGCCTGTGGAGGATGTTGGGTTGGATTTTTTTGGGGGTGATGGATGCATTCACTGACATTGCTCCTCTGAAATTGTTTGCAACCTCTGGGTGTAAGGTATGCATGGATCAGGGTAGAAATTCTTAAGAGATAGTAGGAACTGCAGATGCTGGAGAATCTGAGATAACAAGGTGTAGAGCTGGATGAACACAGCAGGCCAAGCAGCATCAGAGGAGCAGGAAGGCTGACGTCTCGGGCCTAGACCCTTCTTCAGAAATCAGAAGAAGGGTCTAGGCCCATAATGTCAGCCTTCCTGCTCCTTTGATGCTGCTTGGCCTGCTGCGTCCATCTAGCTCTGCACCTTGTTAGCTCAACAGCTTGACTATTCAGGGCCAATGTGAACTAGACAAACTGAATTGCTTTCCTGTAAAGGGCATTTGTGAACTCATGAATGCACATGTGAGCTGCCATATTAGACCCAAGTTGGTATTTGAAAAGAGCTGATGGCTGTGATCTTCAGGGCCTCTGGCATAAGGCTTCCTCTCACCAAGTACCTGCAAATCCCATTCCCAGAGGCAGGTGGCAGTTTTCCAGGTCTCTCTGGCAGTTATCTGCAACATGTTCTGTGCAGTCTTTCACAGTCATCTGCTCAATTGCACTGAAGACCCTGGTTCCTCTGTTCATGCTGTGCTTGTTCATCTACAGCAGCGGCCCCCTCAACCTCATGTCTCCAATTTTGCCATCATTGATCTTCTCTTCTTCTCCCCCTTCTCCTTTTTTGTGTTCTTTGTCTTAGCAATGCTAAGGCAGCTACAGCTTTCAGTGGTTCCACATCTGGTAAGGAAATTCTGCTATGTGAAGAAATAGCAGGAATGAGATGTATGCTTTGCATATGAGATCTTGACGTAGTCATTTTGATCCTTTGACCTCTTATAGATTGCTCCAGTTTTAAGTGAAAGCCTGCCCTACCATTACCTGTGTTTACATCTTCCAAATCCTGTGACTGGTTTCCCCCTATCTTGATACTGTCATATCCAATATATTTGTTCTCTCTATGCCGTGCGGAAGCTTTCCAGGCAAATAACACAATATGAGTCTTTTTGACATTCATTATTCCCGCGATGCGGTCCTTACACTTTGGAAAGTTCATTTGTTCCCATGTGGCTAACTCATGGCCTGTCAACAGTCCTTCAAGGTTCCCAACACCCCCAACCCCCATCAACTGGTGCATCCTAACTACCCTTCTTTTGAAAGATTAACAACTGATCAGACATTGTTGGGAAGTAACTAAATGTAGACATTGCACCATATTCATCTTTAATGTGACTGTTTCCCTTAAGGGAAAATTCATGAAATAGGTTTTACCAGTTTCAGTTTTGAAAGCTTCTGTCCTTAAACATGCGCAAACAGAACACTGCCCCTTTCCTTCTGCACTGCGCTTTCTCCAAAATCTCAGTTGGGGAAAATACATTGAGAAAGATGATGAACTTTTCTTTGTCTCTTCCACCTTTATCCTCTCCATTTTGAGTATATTTTCCTCCTTATTATTGTTAATGCTTCATCTTTTCCTAATGCTTCTACTCTGTCCTTCTTCAATCCCCCCCACCCCGGTTGCTATCGGCCTATATACTATTTTACTACTCCCCCGATTACCAACTTATCCCACCCTTACTGTCCAGCTCCCACCTTTCATTGTCCTTGTAGCCTCTTTTACTTTGACTCTCACCTTGACAACCCAGTTGTCTCAATTCCCCAGGATCCCTCCAGTGCCCCAATATGCCTTCATTAGGCAGGCCAGTGGACCCAGTCGTATTCACTCCTAAAACTGGAAACTTTTAATTGCAAGAGCCTTGACTACATTTGATTGTGCCTTTTCAAGAGTTGGTTAACATGCAGAGTCTTCACTAACACTGGAAGCATTTGTATAATGAAATGTTTCTGAAAGAGCAAAGTAACAGATTCAAGCTTTATACACCAGAGGTTCGAAAAGAAGCCTACCCTGCCAGGTACATACCTTATATATATATACATACCTTATATATATATACATACCTTATATATATATACATCAGGTTCATGACACAATTGCTTTTCATTTTCAACTAAAAAATTTGCCTCCATGAACATAATTCTGATCAGCTGGTGTTAATGAGTATTCATAGCATGCTAATGAATGCAAAACAGGTTCCCGACAGCTGACCAGCCTGAAAGATTCTGGAAATTTCTTTCCAAAAGTGTAACCCACTGTCCGGAGACAAAATCTTTGCCATCTGCCTGATTAAATTCCCTCAACCACCCTGCTAAAAACTCCGGGGCAATCCTGAAAATTATGCCCCAAGAATTAACCACCTGTCCAAGCAATGCTAAGTTTTGAGAGAATACAATCCGACAATGAAATTAGCAGCATTTGTGATGATAGGGATTTGTTTCCTGTCTGCCCTCTCAGATCGGAATAACATCACATATGCTAGCATGCATTCAAGAAGTTACTTCATTGGTATTGATCAGCCTCAGGCATACAAAGAGGCATGATAACAAACCTGAGAAGGAGAATGATCATCATTGGAACTGTACAACAAATTGGAAAATTAGTTTAATCAAAGATATGAAAAGCCTCAGAATTGAATGCAACTTTTGAAGAAGAATGTAAGGTATTATTAAGGAAAACTTTTCAAACCTTGTTATCAGTGATACAATTCCCAAGGTGGCATGATGGATCAGTGGTTAGCTCTACTGCCTCACAGTGCCAGGGGCCCGGGTTTGATTCCAATCTCGGGTGACTGTCTGTGTGGAGTTTGCA